GTGGTGGAGATAGTAGACGATTTGCAAGCTTATGGTAATTCTTTGACATTGAATTGATTTGAGCGATTATTTCCCTTTACACTTTCGAGAGTGAGAGTATACACTTATCCGGTGAGGTTTATGGATTGAAAGTATTGACCATGATTTTGATGAAACATTCTTTTTGTTTAAAGATTTCGGAATTTAGTATGTTATTTATCTGATGACTATTGATGATGTGTATGATCGACTTTGAGAGTTGTGATTGTTTTTCTTTTTATGTTGAGATAATGAGATACATTGATCGGGACTATCAATGGTTGAAGTTTGGGGGTTTGTTCATGTGTGATTTTACACCATATTCATATAGTATCTAGAGCTAATTCATTGCATTATTGGTGTATAAATTGCATTATTGTGCTTTAATTTTATATCTTGTTGGAAAGGTATTACACGTGCTTGTTTTGTAGATATTTTCACATATTTATAGATTTTTTGGCTATTGGAGGTGCATGGTGAGTACTAAGACCCCCGCGATGATGAAAGATTGATGCACAGATGAAAATAATGGAAGAAACGAGGGAAACAAGTGAAGAATAAAGTGCAGATTTGTGACACGGGCAGTGACACGGGCATCATGCCCGTGTCAGAGACCATGTCTCGTAACTGGGAGGATTATGAAGCTCAGGGACCTGACACGACCCGTGACACGACCTGTGACACGGGCCTGTCTGGCCGTGTCGCGCGCGTAGGCAGATTTTTAAAGCTTACCTTTTTGGATAAGAAGAGGGGTTTTGGACATTATAAAAGGCATATTAACCCTATTCTGAAGGAGGAACAGGGAGAACACAAGAGAGGAGCCTAAGAACACACAAGAGAAGCAATTGAGGAGCAAAAGGAGGATCAACTACGAAGGGATCAAGGAGATTGAAAGATCGACGAGATTCCTAGTTTTTATTTCTTCTTTCCTCTTGAACTTTTATTGATCATGTCGATTTCTAATATGTCTATGTGTTTGAATTCGAACATGAGTAGCTAGATTTATTGATTCTAAGACTTGGTAGTAGATTAATATGTTGGGATTTTGGATGATTTATTTATAATTGATTGTTTTTCTTTTGAACCCTATTCAAGTATTTTGTTATTATTCCATGTTTAGAACTTGATCAATTCTTTTTCATGTTTGACAATATTGTTCATAATTCGAGAGATGAGTTCAATATTAGGTCTTTAATATTTGACATAATTTACTTGCTTGAATCGAGAGATTAGTAGGTAATTGTGAGGATTTTAGATCTTTTAATCTGTTTGGAGTTGAATTGCATGTGTTGAGTGGAGACGCTAATATATGTGATTTAATCTACGGTTTTATCGATCTCGAGAGGGACGATAAGCTAAATTTGTGATCATCTTATAGGGTAGATAAAGAAAATAGTTAATTGTGATATATCTGAAGGAACCCAACTGTTAATTGAACCCATAGTTTTAGAATCTACCATTCTCATATATTCTTCTTAAGTGTTTTTCTAGTTGTTTTCTTGTTATCAATTTCTTATCTTTTGAATTATTTTTTTTAGTTTAGTTAATCAATCTTATATTCGGTCGTTTAAATAAAATTGGCACTATCATAATCTAGTACTTGATTAATTGGTTGTTTGGTCTCTTGGGATACGACCTTGCTTGCCACATACTACGAGCGAAGCCGTACACTTGCGGTCGAGCTTTAAAAAATATAGGCGAACAATAGTCGAGTCAAACTTAGTATAATCGAGTCAAATTCTAGTATAGTCGAGTCAAACTTATTATAATCGAGTCAAATTCTAGTATAATTGAGTCAAATTCTATTATAGTCGAGTCAAATTCTAGTATAGTCGAGTCAAACTTAGTATAATCGAGTCAAATTCTAGTATAGTTGAGTCAAACTTAGTATAATCGAGTCAAATTCTAGTATAGTTGAGTCAAATTCTATTATGATCGAGTCAATATAGTATAATTGAGTCAAATTCTAGTATATTCGAGTGAATTATAGTATAATCTAGTCAAACTTAGTATAATCGAGTCAAATTCTAGTAGAGTCGAGTTGGCATGTTCATTTTACAAAAAAAAAAATTTATCATATTAAGAAACACGTTACTTTATACAAATTCAACATATTTATCGCGCTAATTAACATATTCATCTCATAACATAATATATTCATCTTTTAAGTTGACATGTTCATTTTAAAACGTAACATATTCATCTTATAAGATGTCATGTTCATCTTAAAACGTAACAATCTGCAATCTTTAACATGTTCATCATATTTGAAAACATATCCATTTTATTATGTAACATGTTCATTATATGTCAGTATAATAAAATAATTACGAAAAATTATGAAAAATTATGAAAAACGAAAAATTAGTTGGGTTCAAAAACCTATCAAATGTGGTCTCTATTTATAGATAATGAAAAATTATGAATTTCAGTATTTTTATTTTATTTTTTTAATATAAAAAATTAATGATATTTTAATTTATGTAATATGTCCCATTTTGGAATTAAAAAAAGAAAAAATAGGAATGTGTATTACACTCTCCAAATTTCCTTGTTTTTGAGGTGAAAGAGGCGCGTGCAAATCTGCCCTGCGATAGTGCTACTGATTGCAATTGGGTATTTCATATCGTGTCTGCAATATTATTATAAGTGAATTAATCGACTTAAATTCAGTAACGGTTTTATTTAAAAAAATAAATATAAATACAACTGTTACTGAACTTAGGTCGTTTAATTCACATGACTTTAGAAGTGTAAAAATGTACAATGTTTACTAAATTATTCATTAAAGGTAAATTGGTATATGTACTTCTTGGCCAGACACCAAGTGGTACACCCAGGATAAATGTAGTATGATCCTTTCACTATGATTAAACTTCACAATGGTTCGAGGGAAAGAATAGTCAGCTTCTTCTAAATATGAATAAGAAAAAGGTTGGAATGCACAAATCACAATGACTAAAGAAATCACAAGTTGCAATTATATTAGTATATTATTACTGTGAGCCCATTAATTATAGGTATGGTAGACAACATGTGCCAGTGTAAATTTAACTTATAATAATGTAATTAATCCTATACACTCGCTAATATTCTAATAATAGTTCACCATATGAGCTGTGTGTGTGTGTG